GTGTGTGTGTGTGTGTGTGTGTGTGTGTGTGTGTTATCAGTAGTAATACTTAGCTGTAGCGATTGTAATTTGTACTCTCCAAATTAAAGCTCACTTTTTATAATTGAATCTGTTTGTTTTATTCTGAGTTTATGCTTAACAAAAGGAATTTGAAGCATAAATGGAAAAAGGTATTATAGCAAGCCTTTCATCTTATATTAATTCTCACTTTACAACCACTGGACATTTATCAAATGTTCAAATTTTACAAAATGGCGTAGCAAATAGTTGCTTAACGATTTACAACTGTAAAACTGATGTAGTATGGACGCTATATCTCATTTTATAGTTTTTTTGTACTTTAATTTCAAATACTAATTATAATTAGTTAGAAAAGGGATTACTAGAAATGGAAATTTTATGTCATTAACAAATTAACTTTGCTGAACTCAATGCGAAATTTCTTTTTAGGGGCATATAAATTGCGTCAATCAAGTGATTCGTTACGAGGACGTGGAGTGTATTGGAGGAATCAAGAAATGGAAGATTTCATACATTGTAAGGAGAAAATTTTGAAACGAACAGATACGCCATAATTGTATAAACATGACATGAATTTTGCTTTTTAGTATCGTTGTTGTATTATGTGTGACAAATAAACAATCTTTTTTTCATTAAAAAAAAGGCCTATCTTCAATAAAATCCCAATCCTCAATTCTACGCAGACACTATTTTTGCTTATTCAAGAATGAAGAATTTGAGAGAAAAATGTTTGCTGTAACTGTATTTACAATCAATTAAGCAGAAAAATAACGTATGTGATTTAATTCTATCGGTTCGTTAGAAGCAGTTATGCATTTCTAACAAACAAAAGATATAGCGTCGTATAAAATTTATAAATTCTTTACAGGATGTCTTAGTTTCCAAATTTATATTAAAATAGAAGGAGGAGAGTATCATTTTCAGCTTTGTGATAAGGCAAACTAATAGGTGATAAATGATAGAATATTTTGCGATGACATGAAGATGAAAAATATTAAATAACATGGAAATGTTATATAAAACTGATACTGCAGGATTTAGAATGAAGGAATATTATATATTAGCGTGATGAGGAATAGGATCATGTATTCAAATTTTGGACACGTGTTGAAGTGATTAATCATGCTAAAATAATATGATTAACATAACAATTGTTAGTGGACATATAACTCAAGAATTTTATCCAGAATTATGGTTCATTTAACGAAATAATTCATATCAGTTATTAAACTAATAACGAACTCTAACGGTTATTAAATATAGACATGTTCGTTTTTAAATCTTCATATTATTATAAGCTCGATTTATTTATTTACTTAAAAAAAAAGTATGATTTCCCT